GCATACAAAAAAAGTTTGGTAACACTTTAGTACAGGGACCAATTCTCACTATTAACTAGTTGCTTATTAGCATGCCTATTATTAACATATTGGCTGTTTATTAGTACTTATAAAGTACATATTCTGCATGACCATATTCTACATCCTTAATCCTACCCAATACCTAAACTTAACAACTACCTTACTAACTATTAATGAGCAGCAAATTAGGAGTTTACTGAGGCAAAATTCATAGTTAATGGTTTGTTAATAGCGAGAATTGGACCTTAAAATAAAGTGTGACCAATATGACATACTTAAACTTCAAATACGGCAATATCTCTTTTTGTTTTGTGTGTAGATCTCACCGTGGGACGCGTAGCTAGTGGCCGGCCCGCTCACACTGAACCGGTTCATGTTTAACCGGTGACTGGTGACGTTCTTCTGAGGCTGGAACATGATGATGTGGACTTTGGGGGCAAACATGCAGCCCAGCACCACAAATCCACTCAGACTGACAGATATACACATGGTTGTGGTTTGGACCTGAGAGAGAGAGAGAGGAAAACCACAATTCATGTCTCACCCTCATTGTCTCTATGGTGACTCCCATTCATTCCCATAATCAGAAGCTATTAGTTGTAACTATCAAGAACCCCCTTGGCTAATAAAGAGGTAGAGCACGGGGGTATAATAACAGTGACATTTAGCAAAGTGCTGCATAAATAGCATTTGATTAGAAGTAGTTGAACGTCTCCCATTAGCAACATAATTTTCCTCCCTCCAGTTTTAGATCTTCTTGTTGTTCCCCGCAGTCCCCCGTCAAGGCGCACCGCTGTTACAGAACGAATAGGAGGACGGATATAACGCTAAACCGGAATTTCTCAGCCCAGGGGAATCTAGACCTTCACTAACAATCCACCGCTGTTCCGCTTAAGGAACGATTTCACAGAGAGCTAAATGAACGGTATGATCCGTTTCAGTTAGACTTTTATCTCATTATGACTTATCAGCGGGTTCCCCATGCGCATATGTTCATGTCCTGCTAAAAATACGCGAACTGATAAGCTGTTCTGTTAGTCTTGTTCATATTTTCTGCAATGTAATCAGCGTGAGCCATCTTATAAAGCCGTCCTTATTCTGTTGTGTTTTACTCGGTCGGTTCATAGCTCTGCATGCATTTGCACTCTGTTTTCTGTATCTTTCAACTATCTTGTGCTTCTACAGGCATCAGCATTCTGCGCGAACGGTCTCTGAGGGCCGCGTCTCTTGAGCAAATAGCCTCTCTTCGCACTTCATTGACTGCGGCCTAGTAAAATACGTTTTTGTCCTGCTCACTGCAAGAATTCCTCTTTGCGTCAGCAGGCTGTCTACATGGTCCAGTTTCTCTCTTGAGTGGCAATGCTGTTTGAGTACTTCAGGCTGGTGTGGTGAATGACAAGCTCGGTTATAGAAACTGAATCGCTCTATGTGATATATTTGTTGCATCAACGAACTATTGAGAAGTTGTCTGTTGAGGCTACGTGTTTGCTGAAGATTTAAATTTGTCAACAGATTTCTATCTTGACAGTTCTGCTTACTTGGTGTAATTCCTAATACACATAACAGCTATCCGAACAGCAGGCGTCTTGGGGTCCCACAAGCGCGGATACAAGACAACGTCGTCTGTTTTGCATGTTAATGGCTTTTTTTCTGGTTCCGCTTTTCAGCTCAGATCAGTTTGATTCATTCTCACTAAAGCAGATTAAATCTAGCTGTGTTCAGTTAGCTTCAGGTACTTTCATTTGATTTGAGCAGTATTTCTGCTTATGCCAGACAGGAATGGGTATAATTCAGTTATGTTAAGAATTGGTTACCTTTAAATTCATGAGCTGGAAATGTAATCAATTTGGCCACACCCCAAAGGAAGCTGAATTCATTTCAATTTGTATAATAACAAATTAAAAAAAATTTTTTTTTTTAAGTAAAAAGATAAGTAAGATGTCCCCTACCCTCAGAATTGAGGCAGAATGTTCACAGTGGCATGTTGCTGCAGGTATTTTTTTTATTAATAATTATTAATATTAATTAGTTCTCTAATAATTCAAGTTATTCAATAAGAACGTATTATTTAATAATTCCATGAATTAGATTTATTGCAAACATATTCATTATTCATCACATCATTTGCCAATTCAGCGGAATCATTAAATCTGAATTTTTATATGTGAGCCTGGACCACAAAACCAGTCATAAGTAGCACAGGTATATTTGTAGCAATAGCCAACAATACATTGTATGGGTCAAAATAATTGATTTTTCTTTTATGCCAAAAATCATTAGGATAATAAGTAAAGATCATGTTCCATGAGGATATTTTGTAAATTTCCTACCGTAAATATTTCAAAACTTAATTTTTGATTAGTAATACAGTGGGTAAAATAAGTATCGAACGCGTCACCATTTTTCCCAGTAAATATATTTCTAAAGGTGCTGTTGACATGAAATGTTCACCAGATGTCGGTAACAATCCAAGTAATCCATACATACAAAGAAAACAAAACAAATAAGTTCAGAAATTAAGTTATGTGTAATAAAATGGAATGACACAGGGAAAAAGTATTGTACTACTGAAATGTATTTAATACTTTGTACAAAAGCCTTTGTTGTTAATGACAGCTTCAATCTTCATCGTCCTGGTACTGTAGGTGTTGGGACTGAACCAGCTAATATTAATTTCCACTGACTAGGGGCAGGATTGCTTTCTAATTACTGATAGATTTCAGCTGGTGTCTTGGCTTTCCATGCCTTTTTGCACCTCCTTTTCGTCATGTGTTCTATACTTTTTCCCTGTGTCATTCTACTTTATTACACAGAACTTAATTTCTGAATTTATTTGTTTTGTTTTCGTTGTTGTTACCGACATCTGGTGAAAATATCAAGTCAACAGCACCTTTAGAAATATATTTACTGAGAAAAATGGTGACACGTTCAATACTTATTTTACCAGCTGTATGCATTGCTAAGGACTTAATTTGGACAACTTTAAAGGCGATTTTCTCAATATTTAGATTTTTTGCACACTCAGATTCCAGATTTTTAAATAGTTGTATCTCAGCCAAATATGATCCTATCCTAACAAATCATACATCAATGGAAAGCTTATTTATTAAAAAAATTGACACTTATGACTGGTTTTGTGGTCCAGGGTTTTTTTACTTGGATTCTGTTATTTGATTTGTCTGCTATTATTAGAATTTTGCATTTTTACACTCTTTTAAAAATTAATGTAAAAAACAATCTATAAATTTTAAATATTATAGATTTGTCTGTGTATAAGGCCTATGAAACATCAGGCTTAATGAATCCATCATTCAAGATTTGCCTTGACAAACCTTCCTTTTCTACTTGAAGGGAAGTTCACCCAAAAATGAAACTTTTGTCATTATTTCATATCAGAACAAAAGAAGATACTTTGACTCTGGCAACTAAACAACATTGGAGCCCATTGACTTTCATTGTATGGAGTAAAAACACAAAATATCTTACTTTGTGTTCCACAGAAGAAATAGAGTCATACACGTTTGGAATGACATGATCGCGAGTAAACGGTGACACAATAAAATTTTTGGGTGATTTATCCCTTAAAATCTAACACTTATTGCAGTTATATGAATTTCAGTTAACTTTCATTTTACAGAATTAATTTTACAGTGTCAGACGTACCCTGTAGTCACTGGAGGTGACGTAGAAGATGGGCAGGAAGGCCAGCCAGATGATACAGGTGGTGTACATGGTGAAGCCGATGAACTTGGCCTCATTGAAGTTCTCCGGACACTTGCGGGTCTTGAAGGCGTAGACCGTGCAGAGGACCACCAGAACCACATCGTAGCTCAGCGACAGCAGCATGCTAGAGTCCCGTACGTTACACTTCAAAATGACAGTCTGGCGTTTCTCCGGCGTTGTGAACCGCCGTGTGCCGGGCACTTCCAGGAGTAGCCAGACGGACACCAACAAGAGCTGCACGGAGATCAACAACAGACAGATGAACACTTGTGAGCTCGGACTGATGAAGCGTGGCCTCTGAGCCCCGCCCTCTTTTACACCGCTGAAGATGCGAGCGATGCGATTGGTCTTCGTGAGCAAGGCGGAGTAGCATACCGCGAACGAGGTACCGAGGCCTAACCGCCGCAGCGTGCACACGATAGGCGAAGGTTTTGCGATGAATATGAAAGTCATGACGTAGGACATGAAGACTCCCAGCAGCAGGATGTAGCACAGCTCACGACCGGACGCTTTGACCAGCGGCGTGTCGTTGTGCCGAATGAAAACGACGAAGACCATTAAGGTACATATGAAGCCAACACATGCAATCGAGATGGGTCCAATGGCCCAAGCATCCTCCCACATGATGTAGTCCTCAGGAAGGTCATAGCATCCTGTCAGGTCGGGACGGGGCCATTGGCCGGGTGCACAGGGCATGCATGTGAACTCATCCGGTAGGTATTCATAGGGCTCACAAGGAGTACAAATCCAGCAACAGTATTCGCCGGCTTGCATCTTCTTCATCTCATTGGGAGCGCAAGGGTCACTGCATTGAGACGTGGGTACATCCGCTCCCCTCGGCCAGCCGATCAAGCCCTCATTTAGGGAAAGACTCTCTGCCCACTCTCCAACCTGGATATAAGTGAACTTGTCGCTGCCTGGCACAAGCTGGTAGTTGAAGATGTTGTATCGGCCTATTCCGTCACCATACGCATCAAACTTTACTTGATTCTCCGAGCCGGCAGGGGAGAACGGAGCTTGAGAGAGAGTACGAGAAAGTGGGGAGAAGTTAATTCACACATATCAAGCGGAACGAAACACATTATTAACTCAAGAACAGATAGTTCCCTTTATGACCGTCTTTGGTTATTATCAGTAAGTACGTAAACGGCTGCAGGCTCATGAAGCAATTATAGTAGGCAAAGAAAAGTATCATCAAATCTCTAAACAAAATGACTTTGCAATGCCGTTCGACTTCGAGCGGAGAACGTATCGAGGGTTTGATGAGGAATCGTGCTGCTTACTGTCAGGGTTTATGTGCTAGGTATTGGTTTTATCGTTCATATGAAGTCTCCCACACACCTCTGTACTGTAGCTCGGGGCTCTGGGAGTAAGTGTCCTTGGTCAGCACATTGCAAAATAAGACACGGTAAATGAGCACAGAGGAGATGATGCTTCTGTCTCGGGTTTTGGCCTCAGGGAGAATGATATAGTGTGAACCAGGAGAAAAGACAAGAAGAAAATGCCCCTCAAGGGAGGACAAACTGAGCCGGCAGGGGAGAACGGAGCTTGAGAGAGAGTACGAGAAAGTGGGGAGAAGTTAATTCACACATATCAAGCGGAACGAAACACATTATTAACTCAAGAACAGATAGTTCCCTTTATGACCGTCTTTGGTTATTATCAGTAAGTACGTAAACGGCTGCAGGCTCATGAAGCAATTATAGTAGGCAAAGAAAAGTATCATCAAATCTCTAAACAAAATGACTTTGCAATGCCGTTCGACTTCGAGCGGAGAACGTATCGAGGGTTTGATGAGGAATCGTGCTGCTTACTGTCAGGGTTTATGTGCTAGGTATTGGTTTTATCGTTCATATGAAGTCTCCCACACACCTCTGTACTGTAGCTCGGGGCTCTGGGAGTAAGCGTCCTTGGTCAGCACATTGCAAAATAAGACACGGCAAATGAGCACAGAGGAGATGATGCTTCTGTCTCGCGTTTTGGCCTCAGGGAGAATGATATAGTGTGAACCAGGAGAAAAGACAAGAAGAAAATGCCCCTCAAGGGATGATGGACAAACTGTCACTACTGTTTGTACAAGTGATTATTTTTCTATAGGGGCAAGAAAAAGAGTGAGAATTGAAGTTGTGGAGATGTTGACAGAAGTTGTCGATCTATCTCTCTGTCTCTGGATCTATCTATCTATCTATCTATCTATCTGTCTGTCTTTGATCCATCTATCTATCTATCTATCTATCTGTCTGTGGTTTATCTATCTATCTATCTATCTATCTATCTATCTGTCTATCTGTCTCTCTGTGGTTTATCTATCTATCTATCTATCTATCT